ATGGCACAAAATGGTGAGAAGTGGCGGCACAAAACTAGCAGCACCAGAACCAGGAGACCAGCAGAAGATGGTGCAGTGGGTGTGCTGACACATGGAGCGAGAGAGTTCAGCACATTCAGGCAGGAGGCTTGCTTGTAGAGTAGAGGGCCTTCAGGCCAAGACTTACTGGTGGAGTGGGGTGCTTCTGGGCACTTATCAGTGGAGCTGAAGAGCTTTGTAACACTTGTCCGAGCAGGGCAGAGGCTGAGAAAGAGAGAGGCCTGCCTGTGGGCATGGCTGAAAAGCTGTTCTAACCCAAGAACTATATCCTGAGTCGTTGCTGATCCTGAATTATAACCTGCCAAGACACATGGAGCTCTCCAAGGAACATCGGATCCACAGATGCTGAAAGGAGACAAGGACCTTCCCCCAGAGCCAAGAGAGACACAAAGCCTTCCCCTAGAGCCGCTGCCCTGAATTCAGACTTCTAGCCATCTAAACTGTGAGAAAATAAATTTTGTTAAAGCCATCCACTTGTGTTATTTCTGTTATAGCTGCACTAGATAACTAAGACAGTAACTCACAACAAAGACAAAGTGATTTTATACACACCCTGCCCTTCCCAGGGGTATTTACACTTCTTAAGGGACACCACTTGACTTTCAGGAATGAATCTATTGGTGGAAATATTTCATCTGTCTGAATCAAGCTGGAAGAGATCCATCTGGCTCCCCTCAAATTTCATCATGTAAGCCATGAGTCACCTCACTTCTGGTAATCCAGAGCACTCTACCTCATCCTACAAATGCATCCTTACTCAAGCTTGGTGACAGGTGGTGCAGGAGGAGGAGGGCAGGGGTGTGGTCACAGCTGGTTTTAATGTGGGAAGGGTATTTGTGTTGCCTATATTCCAAAGCCAAAATAAAAAATCATATTAACTACTTAAAAAAAAAAGTCCTATTTGCAGGTTTCTTTTTCACACTCCTACACAGTCAGCATGTGGTTGCTGCAGTGGCATAGGTAAGATCTATGCTAGTCCTTCAAATGCGACACCCTCCTAAAACTTCTCCTGTGGACTCTGCAATTCAGAGGCTCTTTTTCAATCTGTTCACTGAAGCTACTGAGAATATACCACTAACGCAAGAAGAAGGCACTCTGACTGACAGCATTGTCAGTTTTTAACCATCTCAAGGTGTATTATCTATTTGGAACATAAGCAGTAAACTCACTCCCCACTTCTTGACAACACCATGGTGCCACTTGACTGGAGATTACTAATAGATGCACATTCATTTTATTTACTATTAGGGAAGAAAATTTGCTGCAAAGCAGTTTTTTTTAACGTACTCCAAAACCAAATATAAATGATTCAGTCAGTGATTATTTCTTATTTTGGATCTTTTCTCTACCTCTTGTGGCCTCCATTAGCAGAAGTGATTAGGAGCAGGCTGGAAGACCAACTTGATCATGTTCTAGAAGTCTGAGGTCAGATATAAGTGCAAGTGGTTCTGCTGACCAGGTACTGCAGCAAGCAGGTGAGACCAAGGCAAAAGCTCAGTTTCTTCACACTGGAGACTGCACTGTGATGTCACTACCGTTAGATGAATCTTATTAAGAACTCCAAAATTATCTGAGGTTTAAATAGGTCATGCTCAAATTAAAGATTATAAAAATACTTTCATAAATGCTAGATGTCTGTGAACAACAACAATAAAACTCCGGCAATCTTTGGAATCTTCCCAGAGACCAATTTTCTTCCATTTGTTTTGAAAGGAAAATTCTTCAGCTATCTTACAAGACATTCTGTGGTGATCTCATTCAGATGAAAAGGATCTATAATGAGCATGCTTTCATTTAATTTTTTAAACCTTATTTAGCATCGTGTCTTTTTTTTTTTAACTATGAATTATATAATACTGTATGTAGTGATCTATAACTGTTTATAATTCATGGATTATATAGAACTTTGTATGTTAATACATGAGTCTGTTTCATTCCATTTAACTGTATAGATGTACTATTAATTAACCATTTACCTATTAATAGACACTTCAGTTTATAATTTTTAGTTATAACAAAAAATGCTACAATGAATATCCTTCTACATCCTTCTTAAACGTGTGAATATTTCCTTAGACCACTTAGAAATAGAATTGCTAGGGTATCATTTTTTAATTTGACAAGAATATGTCAAAGGGCCCCTTAAAAAGGCTATTCTAATTTATACCACTACTAACATCCATCTGGAAACCTTGATGGCATAGTCATTAAGAGCTATGGCTGCTAACCAAAAGGTCAGCAGTTAGAATCCACCAGGTGCTCCTTAGAAACCCTATGGGGCAGTTCTACTCTGTCCTATAGGGTTGCTATGAGTCAGAATCAACTCGATGCAATTTTTTTTTTTTTAAACATCATGTATCCATCTATTCATCAATACCAGATATAATTAATCTTTAAAATGTCTGCTAATTTAATGGGCAAAATGTAGGATTTTACTATTCACCTTTCCCAGATCGCTGGTGAGATGTTTACTGGTCACACACATGTTTCTCTTCTGTGAAATGTCTATTTATAACCTTTGCTTATTTTTCTGTTTTTTATTTACTTGTAGAAATTCTTATATATCCTAGGTATTAATTCCTTATCTAGTGTAAATGTTTGTAAATATATTCTCCTAGTCTATCATTATTTTAACTTTGTTTATGCTAGTTATTGTCATATAGAAGTTTAATTCTTTTTAATTTTATTTAGTCAAATTTATCAAATCTTCTCTTTGTGTCTTTTGTAGTTTGTCTTGTTTTCATACCTCAAAGTTAAAAACATTCTCCTATATCTTTTTCTAAAACGGTTTTGGCATAGAAGTCCTGTCCTTGTGAGCACTGAGAAAAACAGGTGGGGACTAACTAACCTCAGACAATTACTTCCCCAACCTTCCTGCTCTAACCCTTAGAGCTGTGAATTACAAGCTAGGAGCATCTCCTTCTAATGCTGCTTTGGGGAAGGAGGAGCAAAGGCTGGAGCCTTGACCTGAGGAGCTGTTTTGTGGGTGAGAAGTGATTAACTATGCCTCCTCTACTGCCTGGGGCTCCCTAGCTCCTACCCTAAGCTTACTAGGACATGGGCTGGGATGTGACCTTCCTCAATTCCAGTGCCTGAGAGAGTACCTGGTACCCTGAGGGAAATGAGTTAACAGGCCAAAATAACAAGATATCTGATGAGTACAACCAGAAATATTAGAACTGACCAAATCAGCTAGCTAACCATACTAAAAGAAATGTGAGAAAATATTAGCAATATGAAACAAGAACAAGAAAACATAGAAAAGAGCCAAGCAAAAATATTAGATGAAAAATAGTTGAAATAAATAATATATGGCATTAATAGCAGAATGGATATAATATAAACCAGGAATAAAACTGAAATTTGGAAGATCAGATTGAGTAAATCTCTCAGGAAGAAGAAAAGTACAAATAAGTAGACTAAAACAAACAAAAAAACCTAAGACCAAAGAAAACTAAAAAATGTATCCATAATTGCCCAGAATTAAAAAATATTAATTAATCAACGTGATGGTGGTTGGAGGTATACCAAAGAATGGTTTGGTGTCCAACATTTCTTGAGATACGAATTTTAAAAAGAAAATAAATACAAATATAGAAAAAGCAGGACAAACTGAAATGATGCCAGAAATAGGTCTGAATATATAAAAACAATTATTAGTTCCAGGGAAAATAAAAAACTGCAAGAATACTACATGTACACTATATGGCCCAACTGTGAATAGTATTTACAAGTCATAATAATGTGGGCAGTAAATAGTTATCTAACCAAAATTACAACATAGATGCATTAGGAGGATGGAGGCATGGGAAGGCTGCATATGTGTGGCAAGGATGAGGGAGGAAAGAGAGCAACATCCTTGTCTTCTAGTGGGAATCAAGAGCTAATGCCTAGAACAGAAAAATCAAAAAGTGGCTAAACAAGCATATTAGAGCCAGGGATAATGACAAAATAATCTGCCATAAATGAAGTGATAGTGGTTGCTTTTAAGAAGGTGGTAAGTGGGATGCAGAATGCTATTTTTCTTCCAAAATCTTACAGAACTATTTGAGTCTTTAAACTATATCATGTGTAACTTTTAAAAAAACAAATACTAAAAAGACGGGAAAGAGGAGAATCCAGAACTCACATGGGCTGAACACATCACCCCATCCAGCTTGTCCAGCTTGAAAATCTGGCTCTGTGAACCTCAGGCATTATTTGCATCATATGCAACTAATTGGAACCATGGAAGATACTTGAGGAATCAACTGAAGACAACTTGTTCCACTTAGGGAAAAAGAACCACTCCACCTATTAAAAGGTATGGACTTTTTCATCCTCACTCACCTCTGGTGCAAGTCAGGATTTGATAGAGGTCCCATTAGGAATGAGTTTCAACCTCCTGTTCCCTTTCCCTGCATGTTGGTAACTAAGGCTAAATCCTCGGCCAAACACAAACTTTGGCAGGGCTGACTCCTGACTATCACACCTGTCAAAGTCATTAAAATAACTTCCTCTGTGAGCCCATGTCACATCTTTTTTCTCCAAACCTATGTAAGAAATATGTATTTCTTCTTCCAGAAACAATGACTCCTGCTGACCACTGTAAATATTTAATGGCTGCCAAAATTTGGAACGCTTCCAAATCAAATGTAGACAACACTGCATAAAGATAGGATGTTAGAACTAACAGCAATGCTTGTGCTAGATCATAGTATTTCCATTCCTTATTATTATCGAACACATCTTGAACACACAGTTGCTTTGGCTGTTTCCAAGGCAGTATAGAAAGGAAGTTAGACATGTTGAATCCTGCCCTCTTGTTTATAATCTGAGGCAGAGCCACAGATGTACCATATTCAGGCATTTATTCCTATTCCTTGTATTCAGGTCCTGAGCTGGAATTTATTTTAGTGGTAGGGAGCAAAGCAAATACGTATTTGGAAGGAAACAGAGCAGTTCAGTAGAAGCCAGCATACCTTTAGCATGTAGTAGAAGGGGAACCATGACAGGAAGAGATCAGAGAAGAATTCGGCAATGCTGAACACACCATACACTACCCAGTAGGTCAGCCACTGGGTATCATCTTCTTTGTTGGGACTCTCTATGGCTTTAATTCTGAAAGACAATACAAAAGAAAGTATGTAATTTAGTAAAATCTCAATGAAACATTTTCAAACATTGTACTTTCACAAAGGAGTCCTGGTGGCACAGTGGTTAAGTGCTCGGCTGCTAACCAGTAGGTCGGCAGCTCCAACCCACCAGCCGCTCCACGGGAGAAAGATGTGGCAGTCTGCTTCTGTAAAGATTACAGCCTTGGAAACTCTGTGGGGTAGTTCTACTCTGTCCTATAGGGTTGCGATAAGTTGAAACTGACTCGTCGGCAGTGGGTTTGTTTTTTATGGGGTCACTATGAGTCAGAGTCAACTCGATGGCAACAGGTTTTGGTATACTTTCACAGCCTGTCCCCAGTACCAATTCAGACAAATGTATGCACTGTGTCACTCGATGCAAGAATACAGCATAAAGACACAAAGCAATGTAAAGATATTAGCATGAGCCATTCTGTTTGTTCCCAGTCTTCTAGTCAGCAAAGAGAACCCCACACCAGCTGTCACTGCCCTTGGATCTCTACCCTGCTGAGAGTCTCCACCGTGGCCCCAGGAGATACCAGCAGTACTAGAGCGATCCCTTCTGTCAAGTGGGGTCCTGCTTCCAGGGATATATCAGGAGGAATTCTCTCATGTTAACAGGTTCTTATGTACTTTTAATTATTAGGTAATCATTGGTGGGGAAAAAACAAACTTTTATAGATTGTCCCAGAGATCCATCACCACTGAAATAACTACAAAGAATACTACCTTTCTCTGCTTCTCAGTCATGGGGACTTTTTCATGACTAGGAATTTCCCATAAAGGAACTTCTGGAATACAGGTCAGGCACTGCACAAAGTCCACAACATACTTCATAACGAACAAGTGAAAACAGATATCATGGTGTCCAGTTAGTTCAGGCTGTCATTACGTGATCCTCAGGCTGTGGTCTTCCCCCCACTCAGCAGTTAAAAACATGACTTTCTCAGTACCAAATACTGCTTAAACAAAATTCACTCTGCAAATGGATGGAAATAAATATAAAATAATCTTCTTTTATCTCTAAATCACAGAAATTTCTTCCAGTCCTGGGAATTTCCTATTCTAGACTTCAAATTCCATAATTTATTTTATTCTAACATACATGTGGATGTTTTACCATCGCTGAGCTGGACTGAAGCAGTAAACTGGAAGAAATCTGAATCTTGTTTAGCTTAGATGGTAGGTCAACTATTGAAAATACATTGGCTAACCAGAACCAACATGATGGCAACTAACAACAACAAAAGTCTCTAAAACTGGCTCCCTGAAGACAAAGTTAGGCTGGTGAATCATGCTGAGCCATTCACCAAGAAAGCCCCCAAGTTAATCAGAAACAGCTGGAGATAAATAATACAAGTGTGTGTGTGTATGTGTGTGTGTGATGAGAAAAGAACCAAAGTAGACAAAGTTACAGGTGAATGAGATAATTGCTAATGAAGTAAGGAAGAGAAGGAGAGGATGTAATGATGAAGTGAATACTGCTTTGAATTTCTAAACTGGGAAAAAGTTTTTCACTTTAAACACAAGAATCTTATCAAATGAATTTGAAAGTTGATTATAAAGTAATACTGTGTAATATAGGGACTGGGTCTATGTTTAGCTTTCCTCAAATAAAAAGTAACTAATGAAATAGAAGGCCAAAGGAAAAAAGTATAAGCAACCATGTTAACCAAAGAACGAACACAGTACACCCTTTATACTTAAAATTTTTTTCTTCTGTGCTTTATTTGGTTTAGTATGGTTTATCTATATATGTTTAAGTGGATTTTTTAGTTATTAATATTATAAAAACTTTTTTTTTCTACATTTTTCCTGGGCAGAGAGGCTACATAGTTTTATTTCACTTAACGTCTTAGCTTTGTGGGCCAAAGCAGTCTATGACTAGACTATTCTACCTACTATCTTGGCGAGTCGTATCATCCAAAGGAAGCAACTCTCGGAGCATGACTGGGAAATTAAGCATCCTCTTTAGAATATGGCAGAAAAACCTCACAATGTGCTGTGACTGTCTCATTATTACTTAATCCAGGGGATTTTAAAAATTATTTTGACCACAACCCTCAGTAAGCATACATTTTATATCATGACTCAGTAAACACATACATCCACATATAAATATAAACCAAAACAAGATGTTTCATGAAACGATTCTGATATTTTCAATCCTATTTTGTTATTTTTTAAATGTTGGTCAAGATCCACTGACTGAAAAACAGAAAAAAACTATCCTAACAGTTTAAGTTCAATGCTTGTAGGAATAAAAATGGTTTGTTCCCTAATTTATCAACAATATGAATTCAAAAGTTTCCATGTCAATACGTTGGGACACTATAACAGTAATACTAGAAAATAGAAACAAATGAACTTAAAATTGAACATACACACTAATCACAACTATGAAGAAAACCAAGGCTCATGAATAAAGACAGGAAGAGCACAGAAAGAGTCTTACTAAGCTAAAGAGATTTTTTTGATATAACCTTTCATGTTATTGATGCATCGTTTTAATTTAAAACATCACAATGTTCATTTTTAAAAATCTGCCCACATGTCATAATATCGTAAGATATTTAGAACAAGAGCAAACCTAAGAGAGAGTGTAGCCTGTTCAGTTTACAGGTGAGAAACCTGAGACTGAAGAAAGTGAAGTGCCCCAATCTAGTTATGGTGAGAGAAGGAAAGGGCCTAAAACTGGGGTTTCCTGAATGCTATTTACTTACACAGCTTCTGAACAGACGTCCTTGTTCAGGTGAGTGGATATGGTTGATTCTTCAGCAATATACCCTATTCCCTCATATACATACTAAATCATATTTCAACTCAGTGTATCAGAATGAGGATGTAGCAACTTATCAGGCAACACAGGGGATTCAGGAAATCATAAAATACTGTCTGTGCCATTAGGTTACTTGCAATCTAGCCAAAATGGCAAAGCTAAAGGATGGGAAGGGGTAGGTAACTTACTTAATCTTCAGAGTTGATAACCCTATGTGATGGGTATGGTTATCCCATTTTTTGAGAGGAAGAAACTGAGGCTTAGGGAAAAGAAATAACACATGCACGGCACTCAACTACAAGCAGCAGAGACTGAATTTACACTACTGAATTTTCACTACCCCACGCTGTTCTCCTAGTTAATAGAACAAATAGAACCAGGTTAGACAGCACTAAGCCAAGTGTCCGGTACAAAGTGGGCATTTAGTAAATACTGAACTAATGTAAATACAGTAAGAGTTCACAATCTTACTTCTGGAAGGTACCCCAGAGATCTAGTCCTATACTTGAGGAGACCAAGGCTCACAGAGATAAAACCGTTCACAAAGCAGAAAAATGAAAAGTCATAGTCTCAAGGTCCAGCTCCCTAGAGGATCACTCGGCCCCTCCACCCTACTTACATGGGTGGTGGTGGGGAAACCATTAAAAGTGAACAAGAATGTGTTCTATGAGTTGGTGCCCTCGTCTAATGGTTCCCAAACTTAGACAATCATCCATATCCAGCTAGGGAACTTGTTAAAAATATACATGCCTAGGTCCTTCTTCAGGCCTAATGATTCAGAGTCTCTGGCTGATAAGGCACAGACATATGTTTTTAAAAGCTGTGCAGGTGATTCTAATACACAGCCAAGTTTGAGAACCACGATCTCTGAGCTGCAGTCTTGGCACCACCTCCCCTGTTCATTTCTAGGAGGGAGAATCCAAATAGGCTGATTTGGGTTCAATCAGCTGTGGCCAGAACGGCAGGCTACCCATTTCCCTTCAATGAGTGAGAGGACAAGCGAGAAGTTGGACATGGAAGGCAAATAATGTCTCTGCTACAATTAGGATGAGCCAACTCTAATATGATCTAGAACTCTCACCTGAACATTTTCAAACCTGAAATAGAATTTGAGGTAAAAACATCTAACAAAACTGTTCACTAAGATTTCAAGAACAACATCTAACAGCCCATATTTGTTAGGCGGGAACATCAACCTCCCCCAAATCCTTTCAATCCCTAGCTAAACCCCAGAAGAGTAGCTAGTGACAGTTCCAACTACTCTATCCACAGGCCTGGGCACCATCTTAAAGGCTCCTCTCTCTAATGCCACCTCACGTGGCATATGTTACCAGCATTGCAAGTGGCATATGTTACCAGCACTGCAAACACTGAGCTCAGACTCCTAGAGGGACACATCCACAGAAGACTGACAACACACTCTTTCAAGTTCATTGCTCTGTGTAGACTCTTACTGCCAAAGCCTGGCTATCTAGGTGCAGTGTTGTGGCTTCTTGATTTCTCTCCTGAGCTACCCACCATGTTCTAAGGCTGGACTTCCTCTCCTCCAAGCAGATAGGAGATGTCAAAAGAGAAGCCAGGGCTGTGTGAGCAGCAGAGACATAGCTAGGGTACAGAAGATGGTTGGCAATACTATAGAAGCAGGTGGCAATTCTAAGAATTAGGAATCACAGAATGTTGAATTGGAAGACATCTTAGAGACCAACTAGTTCAAATTCATCCCTTTAGACAAAGAAAACAAGGCCTAAAGTGGAAAGAATGATATTAAAATGAATCTTAACTTGTAAACTAAAAGATTATAGAAGCATGTATTTAAACATTTTTTTAAAGGGCGGCAATGGATTGCTTAAACACATTTTGGCACATCCATACAATAAAATATTCTGAAGCCTTTATACAGGATATTAACAGGGAAAGCTGTCTAAGTATAGTGCCAAGTTTAAAAAAGTAGGTTATCAATTTTGTGTTTTTCTTTTTCTTTTTTTAAAGGCAGACGTATGTTTGTGTGTCTTTACAGACCAAGAATGATGTCTAGAAAGATAGTGTAAAGTTAACCCTGGGTACTGGGATGGCAGAATTTTGCTTTTTAAAGATCTTTGTAATGAACAGGTACTATTTTTATAACAAATAGGGAGAGAAAAGATTTCTATTTAGAAAAAAAATTGGCATCAGATTTTCTATAACTGTTTCCTCCCGTGAGACTGTGG